TTGCTGTCGCCAATTGAGTTGGATTCTCATGAAGAAATATGTCTCAGTTCTTCTACATTTATTTTGCTTTAGATTTTAATGTACTCCGAGATCTTTGGAAATGACAATACGCATTTTACTTGCCTGGCCAACTCATTCTTAGTTAAGTAGCAGGCATCTTTTTAATCAGTACTAACAGAGTCTTACACTCTCCCAATGCACTACTTGATGGCATTTTTCCTCTCAGTGCTATCTGAAGATGACATCTGAAGTAACACAAGTTAAGGCATGTCTGTATCCTGTTCTGTTTATAACTGTATATAATCACAGATACAAGAGCAAAACTGACACTGATAGCTTCCTCCAAATCAAAATCATTGCTGGTTTTATGTTCGTTCTGTCTATGTAGAAATACTCAGATGTAATCTGAGTAGTGCCTTGCAAAGCTGAGCCTTCAGCTTATAACTGTTCATCAGTGAGATAGTCCAATCTGTCACTGTACTGAAATTATTATAAGAATATCTTATAATATAAGAAAATACAGGATTGAAGGTGGGTAAGATAATGGCATGGTTAGGTACATTTTCTGGAAAGATGATGCCTTCACATTTGCAGTTTGTGACTTGTCTAAACACTTTAACCATAAATCCAGGCCATAAATGTGTCAGTCTCTAGCTCAGATCCCCCATAGTCAGATATTTGTACACTTTACCACCTTCTGAACCTCTCAATTTTCTCACTGCAAGTTTAAATTCAGTATTAAAATAACTTGCATTAAGACTGGGGCTTCTGAAGCTACCCATATATTTGGATCTGCTTGAGAGAAAACCAATTCCTTCTGATTTTGGAAAGACAAAAGTTAAGCAAAAGTTTCAGGCCTACTTCTGATGTCAAGAGCAAGCTCATAGAACAGGTTACCTCAGTAATTTGGATATATTAGTGTGACTGTTACAAATGTTTGAGTCTTGGGTTACCACACCAGACAAGAGAGAGGCAGACCAAAATGACCAGCAAAAAAAATGAAGTTCATAATAGATACAGTTTTCTTTTAGGATATAAGTAGAAAGGATTAATACCAAAGTGACCATATGCTGATGAGTCATAGACAGTTCCTAAGTTTACTGAAGTAAAACAGATTATTTTTTTTTTTTTTCCAGAACATGAATTAAGACGGAAACATCGTAACTGCAGACAGTAAAGTGCAGAGCCCAGGCTTGTTTCCATATTGAAAACTGGCATTTTTTTGACTATATGTAATAGTCTGGAATATTTCTGACACACAGAGGTCTGTTGTTTCCAATTTTTTGGAGGTCTCCAAAGGGTAGCTTAATAAGAATTTCAGGACTTCATAGGCAGTAAATAAAGACTCACTGCACTGACAAGCGCACCTCCATGAGAACAGTCCTGGCTTTCTCATCTGAGGACATTAGGCTTTTTCTTTTTTTTTTTGCTTACTTGCATAATAGACTTGAAGTGGACCACGGCCTACCTTGTACTCCAGTGTTTTCCATCCCATTAATAAAACTCATGGGATTGGAAACTGACCATCCTTTACATTTGGAATCAGTGTCCCAGAAAGGCACAAGGAAGGAAGCACCGAATGCTGCAATCAAGGCCTTGGTCCAGTGAACTAGTACAGCTGCCATAGAAGTCTAGGAATAACTGGGTTAAATTTTGCCACATAAGTCCAAAAGAGCTTTTTGACTGAGGAGAAACAAATACAGGAATGATATTGTCAGAAGTTCAGGCTTCAGTTCCAACACATGTTCCTTATTTACTCTCACAATCAGAGGTCCACCAGCCACTTGAAGTAAAAGACCAAAATGAACAGTCCGTTTTTCTGGGTATTTTGTTGCTATACAGGACATACATAAATCATATTTTTGTTTTAGCAGCAGGGACTTTTCTCATAGACAAATCTGTGTTTTGTCTAAAACAAAAAAACCACAAAACACCAGAAGTATGTCCCTAGAAATGGATGATGCTTTGAACAATGATTAAAACGCCAAACACCTGCTAAATAAAAATAAAAACATAACTTGACAGAACCTGGCTCATTGCCCAATTTGCAGTAAAGAAATTTTGTATGTAAGCGTGTGCTGGGTTTTGGGTTTTTTTTGTCTTACAAAATCTGTTAATGTGTTCCTATCTGTTTCATATTTGAGCCATATTCTCTACTCAGCTCTCCGACAAACAGAATTGTGGACTAGTACATTCTAATGAGACAAGACATTACCTTTATGAATGACCTCATAGAGAAGAGGTTGGCTAACATTGTTGAAAGGCCTGGTGCCAGGCAGCTCTGGGCTATGAAACCCAGCTTGAGCTCAGCAAGACAGATTGCATCATCCCCTTCTTTCCAGTTCCAGCTTGGGATATTTAGCAGATGAGCCTGGAAAACAAACAAACAAAAAAAACCACTGGTGAAGAACCAGGAATACTTCCTCAAATACAGTACAGTATCGAAGGAGACAGCAGTGAATTATTTTCTTTGTTACTGGCTTGGCTTTTTCTGAGTAGACAGAAGTACTACAAGTATTTTAGACTTTAAGTCTATGCTAAGAAATGTTCCAATCTTATCTATTATAGACAAAATCTTACATTTCTCATGCCATATTCTGGATGTGACACTCTGCCAGGCTCACTCTCACACCTGAATGACCCGCAAAATGTTGCATAGTTTTCCTCCCCTCTGTGTATTCCTTTTATAGCACTTTGAGCTACTCTCTGACTGATAAGGCACATATATATATATAAAAAATATCTTAAATTCCTGTATATTATGTAATTCAGATTACAATTTGTGTGAAGCTGCAATCTTTCAAAGACACTGTCATTTAATACGTTATACAACATCTTCTGTTTTCTCTATTTCATTCCTTCCACCCTGAAGGATAGCACTTAGTGAAAATCCAAACTTTTTCCCAAGACTGCTATTTGTAAACATTGAATAAAGAAAAGAGTTGATCAAGACAGACATGCAGACAGACACCGGTCAGTTAGACAAGTATTTATATTGTTCATTTATTAGCATAACTCTATCAGAGTCTCTCTTCATCTTCCTTATACAAATGCATAAGGACCTTCATGCTTGTTTCCCTTCATAAGTTAGTATCCCCGTTCAGTACTTTTATAAAAACTATTCAAAAAGGACAAGTGCAGCATTTAAAAGATCTTTTGAAGTCGTTTAGAGCAGAGGAACACTTTGCTTTTATTCTATAAAAAGACACTCTCCTTACATTCACGTGCAGGAAGAGGACATTACAAGCAACAGTACTTGCTCTTGTTCTAGCCAAGGTTACAGGTATAAGGAACTGTGAGCAGTCAAACCTTCCGAGTACTAGGATTATTGCATTTCATTGAATGAAGGTCTACCCAGCCAAGCTTTTTCTCCGACACTGGTCAGTGGTTGATGCTTTTAAAAATAATAAAATAAGTAGGTCACACAGGAGTAGTCTGTTCTCTGACACATTCTTCCTAGCCCAGGTAATCAGCAGTTTATGCACTTCCTCACCTCAGAATTGAATGAATTGACTTAATTGCGTGCAAAGGTCACAGATTTACCATCAAAAATTTGCCAAATTCCTTTCCAAAATGGATTTATAATTTTGATCGCCACAATATTTTTAGGAACAAATTCCACAACTGAGCTCTGATTTATATGAAAAAAACACCTTCTTTTTTTTCTTTTGTACCTACTACTCGGCAATTTCAGGTGTACAATGTCAGGCAAGAAACAAAATCACAATAAATCTCCAATAAGACAAAAATTCTATACTTTTTTTTTTTTTAAGTATCCACAAAGAACTGACTTCCGATGACTTGCCTAGAGGCCACCAGTTCATCCTGGGTAGCTCCAGTGTAATAAGGTGAGCAAAACTTATAGAAGCCGAGTGGTTAAAAGCTCATCTGTAATCAAGAGGAACTACAGACGCTGTAGCTTTGCAAATTAGACCATCGGCAATTAATAAATGTCAGAGGATTTTGATAAGGTCCCTTGCATATATAAATGAAACTGAATTACCTTGTAAGTGGATTACATGGCAAGGCTTATTAGGATTTTTTTTTGAAAGAAAAATGCTTACTATTAGTGGAGATAGAAAAATTGTGTATCAGTGAATACGATGTAGCAAAAAACTCTGGGGAGAGACACTGTTAGTTGACATGTTACCTTATTGTGATACTGCAACATCTGAGTGATAATTCTTATCTTCGGATGATAATTCTTTATTGAAATAACTCTAAAAAATACAAGAAAAAAAACCAAAACTTTTAGCTGGTGGGATATTTGGATAATGTAACCCAATACCTTTACTGTGTTGTCAAGTCCCACAATTAAAACTGTACCCTTTTACTCATCTGGCTGTAAAGCACACCTATTGAAGTCGGGCCTCTGCAATATTTACATCTAGTCAAATTCGGTTAATAACCATCAGCTAATACTAGAGAACATCAAGCTTCAGGAATTATTCAGTTGAGTTGTTTACTTGTATAAAATTTACAGAAAGAGACTTATTTTAGCAGCTCTGTTCAGATACTGTACTCATACTGATAAGCAAATAGTACACTTGCAATTATTATGTCATCTTCAGTGATTATCTTCATGTCTTTGAATCAACATAACTAATCAAGTTTTCCAATGATGTCTGAAGAGAATCCATTTCTTTCTGCCCACCACATCATACTTATTTATACTTGCTAGATATTCATCATATTTAAATGTCTCGAATAACGATTTTGTTTGACATAAATCCACATGCAAATTAATCTTAATTTTTATGGATTATTCCAAAGCTCAATATTGAAACTGGTATCTGAACTCCGAATTTATAAAATATATGGCTACTTCCATAATCTGCGGCTTGACTCCATTCTTAATTATTTAACGAGACTAAGATATACTCAACTGTGTACAGATTTAAACTGGCTGGAAAGAAAAATGTTTGAGAAATGAACGGATTGATAGCATGTTATGAGGAGAGGAACATACAATTTAAAAATTAGAAAAGCATTAAGCAAAATTAAAGAGAGAAAGAGGCAAAAAAAATCGGTTCTCTACATACAAACTAAGGGTAGAAAAAGAAGATCAAAATGAAAAATCATTTGAATTATTAGGGAACCACCAGTCTCATAAGATTCTGAATGCCATAACTATTTACACTGGTGTTTTGTAGGAAGTATCTTGCCAACTGCTGGTCTGGCTTGCATTTTGAACCATATCAAAGCTAGAGCATGAAACATAAAAAAAGTTGGATGCGTGATTTTAATTTGTGTTATCTTGTGGAAGGAGAAAACAGGTCTTCCTTCTAACTTTCCTTTTCTTATTGAATTATTTAATTAAACATTCAATTTTATTGAATTAAATTCACTTAAATGTGAGAAAACACATGAGACTTCCACTCTCAAAATAACACTTTTGCATTTTATTACATTAAATGTATTAAATCTATTAAGAATGCACTAATCTGCAACTGGAATATTTTTAATGTATTTATGCAAATACTGTCAAAATAAAGTTTCCTGCATTGAAACGCAAAAGTATGTTTGGAAAATGAAGTTAAGCATATTTAAATCCTGCACCTTCCACAGACAGCCAGACCTCTTGCACCCAGTGAACTTCTTCCAGTGGAGCAATTTTTATTAATTTTTTTTTATTTCTCCCCTTCCTTCAATTCACAGCATGCAAACATCTGACAGGCCAGGAAAATTGGTTCGTAACACTAGCCAATTCTGTGTTAGAGAATTTTTAACAAATCATTGACATTTTAACTTTAAAACTAGGGTTGTATGAACGAAACACAAAAAATGGAATGGCTTAGCTTTGTTGGAACTCTAGCTGTCATCCACTGACTGACTCTTCAATCTTCTTCCTTCAGAGAATATAAGGAGGAAAGCAGGACAAGATCTGGTGGTCCCTGATGTGTTAAGTGCCTTGTCAACCAAAATAAGCAATGTTTGGTCTTCAATGTGAAAAAGGAGGATGGAGCTAGGAGACCACTCTATCGTTACCATCATGAAGTGTATACGTTGCTTTCCCAAGCAGCGTAATTGCTTGTAGCAGCAGATATACCAAGGAGCAATGATGTATGAAGTTATTAAGGGTTCTTCTGTCCCATCATTAACACCAGCCCACACAGCACATGCACTCATGTAACATATTGTTGCAACAACATGACTACATTCCCTTTCCTCTTATTTCTACTGGGACTGCGTTAAGCTATGTATACTTAAATACTTAAACCCCAGGTTCTGCAAAATACCGAAGTACCAAAGCTTGTGCGCCAAGTGTCACTTCTGACACACTCTTACTAAAACAGCTAAATTAAAACAGTTCAGGCAGGTATTTAAGGTATCCTCATCTCTGGACTTCTGAGACAATCTTGTAATTTGTCCCCTAAAAAAATCCTGCAATGTTCATCAAGTGCAACAGATCAGCAATACAGCTGTGTGTAGCTATAGCCTATCTGGACACCAGAAGTTATCTAATCAGAGTTAAGAACCAAAAACCTATTATAAACTAATGAGTTTACCTCATAATATTGGAGGCATCTTCTGCATCTGGGTCAGCGCAATATTTATTTGCAAGGATTAGGCACGCATCTGCTGACTCTATCTGAGACACCAAAGAAAAAGCAAACATAAATAGCAACCTCTCTTTCCAGCTCTTCTTTCATCATAAAGTATTATGGAACCCAACACTGCCATCATGAGCGTGAATGTCAGTTCTTAATACTGCTAATCAAAAATGTTACAAAGCTACTGTGAGTTAATGTGAGCGATGATAACAGCTCTCATATACACACAGCAATTTCATGAAACTTGCTTGTGATGCTCAGACCAGGTCAGTAGTTTGATTATTGACCCTCACATGACAACAGCTGAGGCATGAAGGCGTTAATGGAATACCTTCTTTAACCAGATACTGAAATTTAGACCTCTAAATCCATAGTAAGTTTCTGTTCTATCAATACAGTGCTCCCACAAGTCCTGCGGCTTTGTTTGGGAATTTAAGTACCTTCTTATTAGAGACAGGACAAGGTGGCTGAACTGACAATTTAGGATCTGAGCACCAGTTTTAGAAAGCATGAGGACGAGAACTGCTCTGTCCACAGGACCTCCATATTCACGCAAACCTAAGCTCTATTAAACTTAAAGCAGATGACAAAAGTATTTTTCAGTGTATACAACCAAATACCAACACAAAGTAGGGTGGAATACAGAACACAAAACACCAACAGGCAATTTTATGGTCATAATTAGAACATTTTGTTCTGATAAACTGAAACAGTCTGTGTTGGGCTGCAAAGGGTTAAGCAATTTCTACCGCCAAAATGGACAAAAGACATGATTAATACTCCAGAAAGTGTTAACAGTGCACTAAAATATCCTTGGCTTAAGGAGCTGGTTTACATTCCATTAACAAAACAAATAAACAAAAACACAATCAAAAAACCATAAAAGAGTTAATGCTGCATCTGACAGCTTGCCATCTTTTTTTTTTTATTTAAGCTTCATGCTTTGTTTTAAGAGTACAAAATAATTTACCATAGACAATTCTAGACAATAAAACCATCTCATTTTAACTACCAAAAATATTAAAATGTTTTGGGGTTTTTTTGTTGGGTTTTTTTTTGTTTGTTTGGTTGGTTTTGTTTTGTTGGGGTTTTGTTTGTTGTTGGTTTTTTTTTAGGATTCTAGACAATAGAAAAAGGGTTTGACAGGTGAAAAATTATTTTCCAATCATTCTGATGAAGGTAAGACAATAGCATTTTCAGCAATTATTGTAAGACAATGTTCTATTATATCAAACATTAATGTAAAATAGACTCTTGAACTAAACCCCAAAGAAAAATTCTTAGAGTTCAATGGAATGGCAGACAATGCTTCTTAAGTCACAGTGTTACTGTAGCTTTGAAGATCTAAAGATATAGGGAAATCAAGGTTTACAAGGACAGATATTATAATTTCTTAGGCAAACTAGTAGAGATGGAAAAACAATCTTTTGGGGTTACATGAAGAAGAGCTTTACTGTTTGTTTTCCAAATAACGTAATGAGTACTTTAAAAAAAAGTAAAATAGCAGGAAAACAGAACAACAGAGCTATTACCTTCACTCTTGCCAGGTCATGGGGATTAAGGACTGAACCCTGATAAAATTCCACCTGAGTGAAGTGTCGTTTAAAAAGAGCTTCCAGCTCAAGGTTAGGGGAGATACTGCATTGGAAAGAGGAAGAAAACACAAGAGCAAATGAGAAGTCAGTTTCCATAAATGCCCCATTTCCTTCATTTATAAACCAACCCATTTATTTATTTTAGGTATTCAGACTTCTGCTGATGCTTTTCCTATGGTGTGGAAACAGTGTGTAGTACTTAAAAGTCAAATATTTTACTGCTTTCACTTCCTTGCTTCTATCTGCAGAGCTTCTGGCCCATTTCATCGTGCTGCTCTGCAGGTTCAACATTTGTCAGTTTCTCACAGATGTGAATCCAGAAGAATTGGTGCAAATATTTAAAAACAACCTCACACAGCATTCTCTACAGAAATTGCCTAGTAAGACAATCATCCTCTGCATGTCCCCACCATTCTCAAAACAGCCAATTGCATCAGAGAGCTCAATACAAAATCACTAAAAGCTGGAAAAGGAACCCTACAGGGACCCTGTGGCCTGTATGAACTACGATTAAAAGAAACCTAATTATGCTTTGACTTTCTGTCTCATTTCATTTTGCCATAAGCAAAGAAAATTAGATGTATCACAATCTATCGTATAATGTGGCATCAACGTTGTAAATATCTTTTCTGAAGCCATTCATTAAAACATAAGGAATTTAATAGCTACATAGTAAGTGCATGAGATGTTTGTCATGTCAGATGCTAAATTTAATGAAACAGATACATGCAAAAATTGGTCTGTGAAGGTACAGAAGAAAGCAGGCACAAACAAGTAGCCAGGTGCTTAACTCCCTTCGCGTGCATATGCCATTTCCCGATTCCTATCACCACGCATCTTCACTGTGGAAATCTGGATCTCTGCTTTCCCCTGACAGTCAATTCTTGCTATTACTTAGAGAGGGGAAACAAGCAAACAAACAATGTAGTTGCTTAAGGATGTCATCTTTAGTTCAATCTGAAACAACTAGATAAAAAAAATTATGCAAGTGATGCTGATTCTTAGTTTTTCAGCTTCCTTTGTTGAATCATCACAAATGAGTTTAACTTTTTAATCATTTTCTTTGACAAGAAGAAAAGTGCAGAACTTGCTACTAAATGCAAAAATATTACTCATTCATAGATTGGAACACTTCTAAACAGATGTCATTCCAGAGCAGAAAAGACCTTTTACACTGTCGCTCTGTGTAGCACATTGCTATTTCTAGCAGCTTCTCCCATAGGCACGCCAACTTGATGTTGTATTACATGTAATGCAGAGCCTGCAACAAACAGCAATCGCCTTGAGACAGCTTTCCAAATTCCACATCAGAAATATGCATGAGACTATGCGTATGTAGGTAGGTATATATGGGTAAAAGAGCAGTACTAATTATCACCGTGCCAAGAACCTCTTTTCTATCTTCGCTCTATCTGTAAAGTAACATCTCTCGTTTATATTAAAACGACATCTGCACCTAAGTTTTTCTTTCTATAAATAATTTGCAATATGAAATAAGCATTTTTTCCTAGTGAAACCAAAGATGAAAATATGTTTTCAGATAGCATAGGACACAGTATTTTTTCACTAATTTTAGTGATTTTAGCAATTTTGGTAGTTTCACTATAAATATTTGCCACTAAAGAAAATTCTCACATCTATTTATTAGTATTTCAATATTTTTTATTTCATCATTCCATTCCCTCTTCAACTATGTGTTTAGCTATCTACTTCACAATTGACACAATTGGGTCTGAAGTTTGCTTGAAACACCTATGCTTAGCAATGGGTTATAAAAAATTGCAGGAAACAACATTTTTTTCAAAATACATTGTGAACAAAAGTAATTGCCAACATTAATTCTATGGTGGTTTGGAGCTTGAAAGATCCTCTGTCTCCCCCCAAAAACACAGCTTAACTTAGTGAGCTTTAGTAACAGATGATAAGACTAATCTTGAAAGATTACTCACTTATGCAGAAAGACGATTTCTACGTTGACATCATCCCTATCCTTGTGCAGGAAGTCCTTCAGGAAGTTGGACACGCTTTCAAGTGTTATGTGACCACAGACAACTATGTGCCTGTTACAGAAAAATCAGAGTTAATCTTGCAAAGATAAAACAAGCAAGAAAGCAAAAAAGCAAATGATAATTTATTGGCCAGAAAAGTGTATTAGTCTCTTCTTGATGTTTCTCTAGATCCTATTCCATGAAATCAGAGAACAAAAGCATCTGTTCCAAAAGGTGCTTTGCAATTGCAAATACGTATACGCTCTCACTTGCCAAGACTACTAGTCACAAATCACTTGGCCAAGTTGTATTATACGTATAACAGAAAGTGGCATCACTATATTAACCACACAACTATATTACACTATATTAACCAGTCCCTTCCAAAGTCATATTTCTTTATTTTACACATCTTTTTCCACATCTTTACCTCCTATACTGAGATTTCCTGTGTAAATTTTTGGTTTATGACATAATGAGACAGCAAAGCTCCCTAAAATGATTTGATATTTCCCATGGTTGAAAGCAGACACACCAATGAAGGCAGCGCAAAGTTTGTCAACTACAGGCCATAAGCAGTAAAAAAGAAATCTTTTTCATACCATAACTCCTACAAGGAGAATACTTTACAATAAGAAATCCTTATTTATTGCACCATTGCAAGATTGCTTAGAAAATCAAAGTTTGCACAGATTGTGATTTCACAAAGGTTCCTACTGCTCCCCATTTCCATTAATAGATGTATCTGACCACGTAAGACGGAAGCACGATATATACCTACATAAACATTCTTGAATTCTACATCTTAAATTTTGAGAGGCTGAAGAAAAGCCTAGGAAATTGCACTCTTCCTGACTTAGAGCATCTTTGCTCCTTTATTATTGTAAAGCAAAGTCCAAAACTTTGTGATTAGAATATCCTACATTGTCTCACAGTTTCCTTCATGGAATAAACTCAACCTCAGCTTTCATTACTGTCATGAGTATAAGACAGATGGTGACTTTGATATGCCTATACCTTGCCATACTTCCAATTACCACATTGCTTACAGAAGTCAGGAAGAGGGCCAAGGTGGTATAGGTACAATTCCGGAACTAATAGAAAGTCAACTTCATTACAGTCATATAGTCTATGCACAAATGCTACAAATGTACAAGTTCACAAACTTATGTGGCACTCGAGCTGCCAAATGTAAGGCAAAGTAATTCCACAGGTAAGAAGCAGACCATCCACATGTCACCTACTTCATAATTCTTGTGGAAAACTCAGTAAAGCAGAAAACCTCATTGGCCACAAACAACAAATATTAGGGGGCAGCAATTATTACTTATGTAGTGGGCTGCACAAGGAGTGATAAATTCAAATACTCCTTTTGCATGAGTTCCAGGACTCAGATGTAATTTTAGAAATAGCAGCAGTCAAAAACTTCAACAGTTTCATTCTTTTTAACAGGCAAGAAATATACGTTTACATGGGACTCTGATCATGTTGTTTTGTATTTAACATAGGACACAACACCACAAACTTTTCCAGCTAAACTAGCTATCCAGACTGTCTGCTTTGGCTTCAGTAAGATTTTGTTCAATTTTAACCTAAGGTTTTGGTGCAGTAAGTGTACAGATCACTGCGTTCTTGGACTGTAAACACTTAAAACCCCCAAAATCCCCAAGTTAAAGCTTTCCCATTTTATGAGGTGGTAAGCACAATATCAGAAAACAAGACATAAAATATATTAGCTCATCCTTTATTGGTGCAAGGGGTCCTTAAGAGGTTTCTTCTGGGATCTTTGCAGCTTGGCAGAGTTTGCAGCAGCCTCTGTACTGGATGAAACCATGCCTATATTTTCCCCTTCAGGAGCACTCTTCCTCGTTTCCCTAGTGGCCAATTGCCTGAGCTGCCAGCACTGTGTGTGCATGTGTTAGCGCACACACAGTTAGGTCAGGATTACAACCTTCAACACAAGGGTAAATATGACTTCAAGCACTAGGATTCACTTATCAAATGGATGAATCTCCATCCAATATATACCAATGCAAACTGGAAAACCTCAACAAAGTTCAGATTCTGAAGAGATGTTTAAAACCCGAGTAGTTTACTAGCTCTAAATTCTGAACAGACTGTGTTTGATACGCTACATTACACCAACATATTAGTAAGTTCTTGCTGTCTAGTGGTATTCAACACTTTTCCCAAGTCTAAACCCATCTAGCATCAAAAACTGCAAAGGCCCCCAAAAATGATAAATCGCAGCTAAAACTATTCATTTATATTCCTCACACTGTCTGTACATGTTTTCTAAGATGACTAATTCTAAACTATGGGCATTATTTTCTTCAAGTGTTTCCATCTATTACTAATTAAGAAATTGAACTTTCCATTTGCATAGCTGATGCATTATTCTTAATAATAGAAGCAATTGCTTCATGTAGGCAACAGTTTTGTACCGATCCTGTGCTGTTAGCTTTAGCAGGGTCTCATCCTGAATGCTCTTGTGCTACACTGCATTCCTGTGCGGAAAACGGACTTCTTTCCTGGGAGTTTTCACTTCACGTAGGCTCTCTTCTGTCATTCTGTCCACATTTTAAAAATTTGAGTAAACTGAATAGAAAAACTACAAGCCAGATAGAGTGTGCAACCCAAATTACTCTATTGCAGAAGAAATTTTAATAGTGTCATAAGACTATAAGATAATTTAGGTTGGAAAAGACCTCCAGAGGTTATCTCATCCAAAAAAACTCCTGCTAAAAGCAGGTACAATAATTCAATCCTGTTATGATTCCCATTCGGTAGAGTTTCACAGCAATCTGCTCCAGTGCATTTGGCTGTCAAATACTCTCGCATTTGAGCATCAGAACTGATTCTTTTGGAAATGTCAGAAGGCATCTGCACCATGGTTTCATTTTAGCACTCTGATTTGGGGTTGGACATTATCTATTCTTCTCTTCTCTTTTGTTCTTATATAGTGCCAGACATTGTCCTGAGGAGTGACTGCAACAAAATCTCCTGGTTTTCAAACAATATTTTCTGATGACATGCTTGCATTAATTTTTCACTGAAAACTCCCACAGAAAAAAAGAAATATCTCTTTTTTAACGTAAATTACATTTTTTCTTAAAAGTAGAACAAATTGAAAACAGATTTCCTGCTTGCCCAGAGAGAGTTATTAGGTATATTATTTAAGAAAACTTGGAGACCTTATATTGTTCCAATCTGTCCTGTATATGATTTAAAGATTTATAACTTCCTCTGTTTGTTCCAATAATCATTCCCTTCCCATGTACCACTCATTTTCTTCCACGCACTGGGAGTTTAAGTAAAGCCAACATACTGGATATCGTGTGCTTTCAGCTAGAGTTGGTTGGTAGGAAAATACTGCATCAATAATTTTGTGTCAACAGAAACGTCTAACATCTGCATCAAGCTTTTGTTTATGAAAAACCTCAAAAGTAATACAGTATTCATCTAAATTATTATGATTTCATTTTTAAAAATTATTTAAAAACCAAATTTATAAATTCCCTAACAATACTGAAAACAGTGATTCAGGAATTTAGACATTTTTATTGCTGGTAAGTATTCAGGAGGACTAAGCTTTCTGTTAAGTAATAGTTATCATTGGTATCATGTATCAGAGGTGAAACTGGTTTAATATACCAAAGGGAATCTTTTACAGAGACTCAAAAGCTTATCAGGAGCTATATTCTATCTACCAATAAAGCCAGACTGATCCGTTCTCTCCCACATGTACTTATTCTTAAAATGAATTACAGTGACCAAATATGAAAAATTAGTACAGTTCTACACAGCTGATTTCAACTGTGATTCTACAGAGTTGAATTTCTCTACACTACCTATTTTTTCTCCACTCAGGTATTGACATAATGATACATTTGCTAAAAATACACTAGCTTCTTATAAAATAAACAAAAATAGTGAAAAGAGGTCCAAAGCTACCAGAGATAGAAACAGTTTGAGGAAGAAAAAAAAAGAAAGAAGCAAAAGCTAAACCATCTAGAATTCTGACATGAGATAATTGAGAACATACACTTAATCCATGTAAATAGTACTGTAAATGAAAACAGATCCACTGTGAATAGGATTCTTCAAAAAGGATCTTTGCGTGGTTCTTCCTTCAGAGGACACAATACGAAAGGCAAATATTTTGCCTGTTTATTTTGAAAGAAATTATATCCATTTTATTGGAACAAGTATAAAGTACTTGAAAAAACTCACTCTAACTAGTCTGTCATAATAAATCAAAGATAATAAATACAAAATTCTGTTCAGCATTCAGCTGAATACATGCTGTTCACTTGTCAAGTAACTAAATGAAGTGTGGCACATATTGATCTAGATGTCTCTATAAAACTATAATATTTATATCAAATGCATATGTTCAAATCTATTTATGGTCTTTCTGCTTAGTGTTCTGATCCTGCCTTCAACTACCAACCATCTAAATTCTTCCTTTGTATACCAGTAGCAGGCTGCTGTGGTTGAAGTAAACAGGTTCTTGTAAAGCTTAACTGGTTTTCCTTAAGAAAGGATGGGTATCAGTCACTCTTTCTTATTAAGGAAAGTCAATAAATGTCAACAGAGACTGTACATACAGTCTTCTTATTTATCTATTAGAGGTCTGCATTCTTTAAATATAGTAGTTTACAATACATTTCTAGCTGCTTGTGCTTTTTATGATTTACCTAACGTTATTCAAGATGCCATTAATTCAGTTCAATTAAGTGAAAATTTTATGCATGTACTTATGCGTCTCTCTTATTTGTTAAACATATACTTTATTTTAATACAAACTCTGCTCTCGGATTCACACAGATAGAGCAATAGGTGCTTTACAGGCACCATTTCATGCTTTTCTCTTTTTTTTTTTACAGAAGACTTGAACCCAAGGACGGTCCTCTAAGGACCATGTACTCAGCCAATGTGTACAGTGAACCAGAACAGTATGTTACAATATTGCAAACATTAAAAAAAAAAACTCGTCTATGTATTACATATATGACAAAAGCAAAACCTGAGAACGACTCATCTAGAACAGACACTTGTGGACCAAAAAA